AATAAGATACCTCGTCCGATTGGCTAATTCGAATCAATTGCCCGGGTAACCAATTTGTACAGTTTAAAGTAGATCAGTGAACTTTAGCATGCAGAGTCTATTGTAGTTTGTGTATAGTCAAAGTCTATTAAAATCATGTATAAATAGAGCAAGAGAATTAATAAATTACAGTCGTTAAGCAATCGTGCAGTGTCATTAGTGTCGAGTGAAGAGGTGAAAGTAGGATCAGAGACAAAGAAAGGTTTTGTCCAGTGCTATACTGTCACGGGAAAACCAAGAGTGTCTGTAAACTGTGTTAGATTGGAAATAAGAGGGAACCTATTTCAATACCCACACAACAAGTAATTTTACCTATTTAGTTATATCCCTAAAACTTCTAAACCAGTGCGTCTATAAAAATAAAATTATAATTTTTGGATTCCTCGTTAGATGCTCTACAACAATATAGAGCCATTTTTTAGCTTTATTATGATTCATAGCTACATTAAGAAAAAAAAATATGCAATAATTAAAAAATGACCCTTAATTGTCATAGAGAATATTGCGAGGAATCCAAAAATTATAATTTTATAGACTCACTGGTTTAGAAGTAATAGTGATTTGAATCGTCAAACATTATTTTGGACGACAATAAGCTACGCCTCAAATTCTGCAAATTCAAATCATCAGACCAATAGAAATACACTATTTAACTGCGGATTCTGCAAATTTTGCAAATTTCAGTGAATCCACTGTAGAATTTGCAGAATTACGTACGTTTATACGTACTTGTGTGAATAATGTAAACCTAAAAGGAAACACTAAACAAATACGTGACGTTGAAAATTTAAGATAAAAAGAAAAAAGTTGCTCGTTTCTCAATAATAAACAACTTTTTAGTGTTTTACGGTCAATTTAGGCACTTATTTTTTATTTCTTTTTCGATAACTATGCTATGAGTGCAGCATGTTTAAGTTTTGATTATTACTTTTAAGAGTTTGTATTACTCCAACAATGTGTTAAAGCCGGATACTCACATAATCAAGCATTTATTATCAAAAGTAAATATAATGGTAAATTTGCTTTCTCAACATCTTTTATTAATAATCGCATCACATAACGTCCCAGACAATATTGTCTAGGGTTAAAAAAAAAACTTTTAAAATAGTAGTGTTCTGTATTTTTTTGCGCTTTTCAAGTCAACTCTTTTATACCGTTGTTTTCGAAATGGTCAGTCTGAGTTTTAAGAACAGATCAACTATTTTAAAAATGATAATAAAATTCTAATAATTCGATTTACCGATTTATATTTATACAGCGATAGAAGTTATCTGGTTTTAATGACCACCATTTTTGCAAATTACCAAATTGATTTTTAGATGCTACATACAATATAAAAAATATTTATTTTAAACCTTCATTTTAATTATTAGTTCCTAGAATCAAAAATACTTTGGTGGCTTAGATTTGTGTTCAGTTTTACAGTACTCTTTCTCACTATGTTATTTATAGTATATCTTATATTTCAAGTTGTTACTGACGAACCATTGATTCAATTAATACGCGAATACCTAAATAGGATTAATATTCCAGGTATAAGCAGTATTATTGATGCTAAAATTTATAACTAATTCAAGGGTTCCAATAGACTCTTTGTTTATATTTTTGCAAAGATATAGAAATATGTTGTAGTGAAAGCGATAGCCAAATAACCAAATGTGTTTTTATGTTTGATAACTGGACTCAAACTGAATTTAACAATTGCACCAAGTATATTCAACGTTTTCGTATAGAAAATAACATATATTGCTATCTTTTTGAGAATAATTATACCGATTTTTTTGGCAACCCAAACACTAACCTTATGGGACCATGGGTGCAGAATATCGATTTTTATTTCAAAATAAATAATATTACCAACATTACTTCCAGATTCTTATCTGTAGGTGCCATTTCTGTGCAATTAATAAATCCAAGTATGTTAATTATATATTTCATTTCTCTATGAGCAATTGACTTTTTGTTTAAATTAAAAGTTCTTTCTTAATCGATAATTTACAGATTTTAATCTCTTATGGAGAGGAAAATCAGAAAATACTGTAGATTTATATGAGAGTCAAATAATAAAATTGCAAATGAATACATTTTCTGGTATTCAAAATATGACAACTTTGGTTAAGTATTTATGATCTATTTTCATAAATACTATATTTCTAGATTTAACCTACCTTTAACATTTAGATTTATTTTACAAAACAAACCATCCAAACTATTTTATCTCATGATATTTACGCAATTTTTGGGATGACTCCTAATTATTATAATATAACTTATTTAAATGTTATGCCAAGATATTTTTCATTATATCCAAATGAAAATGTTTCCGCTAGGAATTTTCATGGCTACTTTAATATTGCTTTAAGTAGTTTTATTCATGATGTGCAATCTGAAAAGCTGTAAATTATATCAACTATTTATTTGGTATTTTATCATTTTAAATTTTTTTAAAAAAATTATGTTAAAATCGCAATTTGTCTTTTTTTTTTTATTAGTCAAAAGACTATTCTTGTTGTCTTGGGTTTGCTTGGTGGTGGTTTTGGTGAGTTGAAAAATATATTGATTATCAAGTAAATACTTGAACATACCGTATTTACTTTATTTTTGTTGCATAATCATGATAGGATTAATTAGAGGAATTTATACCTATCTTTTTGGACAGCCAAGAAATAATCCTTAGTAAGTTGTGAAAGTCTGTATTGACTTTTTATAAAGTTCTAATAAATTTTTTTATTTTCTAAAAGAGGTCACATTATATATACTAAAATAATTAGTATTATATACTTTTCAAATCAGCATAATAG